CACAATAGGTATAAGATTTCGTAAGAAGAAGAGGTGTTAATATTTCCACTTTACAGATGAGGAACCTAAAACCAATAGGGTAAGTAATAAAACCAAGTTACAGAATTCTGCCTCCTGTACTGGAGAAACCATTAAATAACCATTCTCTCCCCAAAGTGGCAAATCCAAGTCTTTGAAAAAGAATTGTATGAGCTTTTCCAAGAAGGAAGAATTATACCATTTCTCTTATAGGAGGAATAGAGGAGATAAAATACAAAAATGATTTTGGTTGCCCTAAGGCATGCCCACAGTCATTATGGAGAGCCTGTAAAGTTTAATCAAACCCGGTAACTGTGACCTTCATCTATACCCATTAGAGATCTTGGCCAAATCTATGTCCATTAAAATCACAAACACGCCTATTCTTTGAGCCAGCAACTCCACTTCTAGGAATATCCTGTGCGTGAGATGGCATGCGTATAAAGCTATTCACTTCAGGATTGCTTGTAATAATAAAATGTGGAGGTAAACTAAAAATCCATCAAACAGCAGACCAGTAAAAAATATGGAATGATATCCAAAATGTTTATGGAGTAAAAATAGGGAATGATATCCAAAATAGTTATTAAGTGAAAAATTAGGGTAAAAACTATATTTCAAGTATGCTGCCATTTGTATAAAACAGACAAAAATAATTATAAACACTTCTGCTTACATATTCGTGAAATAATTACATGAGGATACACAACCAGAAACGTTCATTCTCCAGGAGGGAAACTGGGTGTTAGATGGAGGAAGTAGGAGGAAAACATTATTACTTATCATTTTGTATCTTTTGAATTTCCAGCCATGTCTATCATTTTTTAAAATAAATGAAATTGCTTTTACAAGTCAAGGGAATAAAAGTCAAGAATGCCTTACTGTATGGTTTTCTAAGCAGAAAAAAAATAAATAAAACCATTTAAAGCATTCGATGTCCCTCCATAAAGAGCTCATAGTGAAAAATGTAGTTAGTTTTTTGTCAATTTGAAAAAAAGAATTCATTCTTGCCTAATAGTTTAATTCTTCTATAAAATTAAAATAGAGAGCGTAATTGAATTTGTTTTCCTGGAGTCTAGCCTCTATATAAAATTTGGTTACTACTTTTTGGATGTTTTATTCCATTCACATTTAATAGCATTGGAGCCCAGATAGATCTGTGAGGATATCATAAAAAGATTCCTTTCAGGAATGTACTTCCTAGCTTGGATTCCAGTTTTGTCATATAGGAAAGTTTTATATATCCTCTGAATATCTTTTTCCTCATCTATAACATGTGAGTAATAATACCTACTTCATAAGGCTGCTTTGAAAAGAAAATCTTATTTATGTCAAAGTCTATCCACAATGCCCCAACACCACAGCACACTCAGAAAATGTTAAGGACCAGTTGTAGTAATCAACAAGAAGAAATTCTGTAGGAAAGTTACTAAGTTTACCTTATAAATTATCAACAAAACCTCTGAAGTCATTTTGTAGTTATAACTAGGCTGTAGTTTTGTTTATCTTTTAACTCTAATATTTTGTGCACTTCAGATTGAACAAATCACTTACCTGAGGGAATAACAAAAGAATTCAGGGTAGTATTGCCCTTTTTACAAACATAGCCTAGTTTCTGAACACATTCCAGATTTTCCCATTTGGCATTTTTTCCAGGATTTAAGGACACACAGCTTTTTCCAGGTTCAGCTGATGGACTTCCTTTGAGGAAAAGGAAAAATTAAAGTGGGACTGTTACAGATATTCCAGGTAGATACCCCCCTCCCCAGCCTCACGTCTTCATCCTTGGGATTTAATGGATCCCCGTTCTGCCTTGTGCTACACATTCACTGACTGCAGAGCAAAAGACATGATGGGTATCTATTTGTTTCATTGTTGACGGATCATTCCAATGCCTACAACGAGGATTAAACAAGTATACTTCTTTGAAATAGCTTTTTTTTACCCATTATTAACTAATAAAGCTAGACCTTAAAATTTGAATGGTCATCATGCTGGGTTATATTTTGAATCATAGAGAAGTCCTAGTAAAACGAGTACATGATGGTCCAAACCAGCCATACTAAACATTGTTAATACCTGCCAAAAAAAAAACTAAGTCAAGCTAACTGTAAGGCTCAGGCTAGAGAATCTGTGGACATAGGGAAAGCTTCAATTACAGAGAGGAGACAAGAAAGAAAGACAAGGACGATGTGGTATCTATACACAGTGGAATACTACTCAGCCATAAAAAGGAATGAAATTCTGCCATTTGCAGCAACATGCATGAACTTGGAGAAAATTATGTTATGTGAAATAAGCCAGGCATAGAAAGAGAAATACCACATGTCCTCACTCATAAGTGGGAGCTAAAAAAAATAAATAAATTTTAAAAAGAAAGAAAGATACAACAATCAAAATAATATGTTGAACTTTCAAAAGGAGAGAACAGAATTGAGGTTACCAGAGGTGGGGAAGGGGAGCGGGGAGTGGGTTTGCAAGAAATTGGTAAAGGGTCACGAAGAATGATTGCATTGTATAATGATGAATATACTAATTATCCTGATTTGATTGCTATATATTGTACACAGGTATGAATATTCAACTCTATACCCCACACATATGTATAATGAATCATGTTTCAATTTAAAAAAAAAAGAATGACAACAGAGGGGAGAAAGACACTGAAGGGGAGCTGAAACATGACATGCTCTCAGAACCTCCAGGATTCTTTCTCAATATTATTAACTCAGCCCACTGAAGAATTCTTGTAGCAGCTAACCCCTCATACATTTCTTACTGAAAACTGCTTACAGAACCAGATAGCATCAAATTTGCTAATGCAATGGACACATGCATTGGTACCTATGTCTTTCACGCTTTTCACTACTCTAATATACGATTTTAAAAACAGTGCTCCAAAAACTAGCTTCATCTCACAGCCGAAGACAGGGTGAATGAGCCATGTTCTGTTAATAACTCTGCTCTGTGGCCTTTGATGTGTGTATAACCTGTGCCTGAACTTCACTTTCCCTTCCTGCAGGATGGAAATTATATCACCTGCTCCATACAGTCTTTATCAGAAACTTTTAAGGTTATTTAAATACTACACAAATAAAAAAATTGTCAGTAATAAATATAAAGATGTTCTTAAAATTTGTTGATTTTGTGACCAAAATAACAGGATAACCAAACTAACAGATAAGGTATCAGTACTAGAAAGAGACTTTCAAGAAACAATAATACATTTTATAGCTATTGGTTATTACTTAATGTATTAATTAGTCAATCATATTATACATTTATTTGTCAAGATAATACAACTACCAACTTTAAGACATCAATTAATGGCCTTTAATGCTTGCCAGTTATTACATATTTGAATCCACACTTGTACATCATTTATGTAAAATATCCTCACTTCAAGTGTGAATGTATTTTAATAAATACATTACTTGGTAAATACTCAGTTAAATGCTTGACTGAACAATGTATATGATAACAATTTCTGATATTCCACCAGGTTCCTAATTTCAGTTTGAAGAAACTCATAGTATTTCAGAAGGTCATTTAATCTTGCACCTGCTCCTCAGGAATTTGGTTTAATAAGGAAGAACATTTCTTTTCCTTTCCCATCAATGTTCCACGTTCATTCCTCACCTTCGCCAAACTTAACTTTCAAATATTCCTACTGAACTCTTAGAATGCAAGTGATGAAATATTATAATCAACACCCCAAACTGAATAATAAATAAAATGACCTGCATAAGATTATACAATAATTTAGCAACAAAGAAAAGAATAAACTCTAGTCCCCTAATAAATGATAATTATTGTCTATTTATCTGATTGAACCCAACTGGTGTTCTCCAATTTAATCTGACCAAATGCACAGGCAGATGAATTAAATCTCCATGCATAAAAAAGGACATCTTATATTCTTTTGCACTAATATTTACTTCCCATATTCAAAAGAAAATAGAAAAAAAAAAAGAAAAGAAAATAGAGCTGATTATCATTGCAAGACTCAAGCAACAGCCCTATCACCACCATGCATTGAAGCAATACAGTGAAAGTGGAATTTCACAGTACAATCTAATCAATTTAAATGCAAACACATCCTCTAAGAATTTCCTCTTCCTCTCATGTTTTAGGATCTATTTGGAATATTATCTTATCAAAGATTTTCCTCTTTTAATGCAATAAGTCAATAAAGAAAATAGAGTTTAATTTTCTAAGCCAAGTTGAAAAGTCATTCAGTGACTTTAAAATAGGAGCGTGACCATGTGAAAGAAAGACACCATATTGTACTGTCCATAGCAGAACTAATAAATAAAGATGTGACCATATGTTAATCCTCTCCTTTCCATACTCGCAGCAGACACCACTAATCATTAATCGCTCTCTTTCCTAAGAAACCAAGATTGGTACAGGGGTGGGGATAGGGGGTTGGAATCACCCTCACTAGAGAGCCTTAAGCAGCTACTAACACAGGTTGTATTAGTGAGTAAGATGAAAATTTCTTAGTTTTGTTTTCTGTGAATAGTTGCTTTATATGTAAAACTTACATTTAGTAATGAGCTTCCTTTGATGTTCTTTTACTTGTATGGTACCACAATATAGAAATAGTCAAAACATATCATGTCCTCCAAAAAAATTAGAAAGCTGCTGTAGAAGTTTTGATCATCTCCTAACTGTTTTTCTCTAATCCAGCTACAAATTGTGAAGAAAAGTACTAATGAATTTTTACGTTAGTATGGAATATTACAATGTGACAGAGATAATATTTTTAATCCAACTCTAGTAGATTAAAAACAGGAGAAAATGGTGTTAATGTACACCTTAAGATCTTTATAACAGTGTCAGCAATATTACAAATATCTCACATCTCAAGATAATGAAAATTCTCCAACCCAGTATAATTTCAGTTCACTTAAATTCATAGCGTGTATGTATATAGATATAGAAATATATGTATAAAATCTTTGATTGTCATATATAGCATTATACATTATTTTTAGTAAATATATATTTTATGTGTAAGCATTTTCAGCTGGAATGTTACAAAATTTATCACTGTTTAAGTTTTCCCTTTTTTTTTTTTTTTTTTGGCAGCTGGTCGGTGGAGGGATCAAACCCTGAAACTCGGTGTTATCAACATCATGATCTAACCAACTGAGCTATCCAGCCAGTCCAAACTTCAAAACATTATGACAAAAGATTCAAAGGTCAGTCATACAAAAATCTGAAGGCACTTTGTCAGACTTTACAAATAGATGTTAGATAATCCTTCCAAGGATAAGGACAAGGTTGCTGCAACATCAAATATATAGTAACCATACTCTTGCTATATTTAGTAAATCATGGGGGGGGGGTGCCTCTTTTTTTAACTGAAGCATAATTGATTGTACACATCTGTAGGGTACAGTATGGAATATCAGTACCTATGTGCAATATGTGATGCTCAAATCAGGATAATTAGTATATTCAACATTACACGATGTAATCATTTTTTGTGACCCTTTACCAACTTCTCGTTAACTCCCCTCCCCCTCCCCCTTTCCCACCTTTGATGGCCTCAGTTCTGTTCTCTTCTTTCATGAATCATGTTTAAGTGTAGCTACAAAATTTGCTTTTGAATATCACACCTATTCTTTGAGAATTTATACTTTAAACAGAGACCTATATTAATTTGTGTGATAATCCCAGCAGACAAGTCCTTATCCCAGAAGACTGGTATAACCTTATGGTTTCAGCATATTCAAATCTAGCTGGTGGATTTCAAAGCAAGGTGAGAAATGGACTATATTTGATAAGTTCTTCCAGTTCTCTTTGGGATCTACATGTGAGATATTAAAGGTCTTCTTGGTATCCAGGTGAGTTAAATTTGGATTAATTCAACAACAGACAGGCTTAACCCTACCTGGTAACCAGTTCAAATATCGGAATGGAACACCACCACTCCACTGCCAGCCACTGTTGGAACTCAGACTGTTAAGTCCAATCCAGAGTCCTGAAGTCAAGGAACTGGTTAATCCTATATAACAAAAAGCAAAAACAAAAGCAAAATTGGCATTCACAAAAGACAATGAAATTAAGTTCAGAATTAAGTGCCTAATTCAAAACATAACTGAGAGAAGTAATAATAAGCATTCCTAATGTCTCTCTTTAGATTCTCCTAGCAATGTGAGACAAGTATAACTGTTACCTCCACTGACAGGTAAAGAAACTGAGACAGAGAGAACACAGATAAGCTAGAAAGATTCTTGTTAAGGTTCCAGCCCAGATTTAACTAGGCTTCAAAATTCATCATTTGACTATTTACTATACACACTTTCTCAAGGATAGTATGAATGTGCTTCTGATTGGTATATGACTACATTTGCCTATCATCAAATGACATTTTTCTTCATTTTAGAGTGCAAGTAAGATTTATTTCATACAAAAGTCAAAGTTTGCTATGATAGAAATTTTTTAGTAAACATTTCAACCTCACGTCCATGAGTTATTACCCCAATCTCACATTTCAGAACTTATTCTAAGACTTATTTTATGACATTTTTAAGTCATTGTTTTCTTCCTTATTTAAATGATATTAAATTCTAAACACTAAATGTTTATGCTAACATGACAACACTTTATTTAGGCAGTTAGTAAATCATAGTCACAATGTTTCAGACTCTGTACAGGGCTGGATGTGGAAGTGAAACGTGAACCTCAATCCCCCCATGTGGAACACTAACCTGTTATTACCTATAACTTTTTAAAAACCCATAGATAAAAATTTTCTGTTCCCCCTAAATTCTTTTAATTGATTAAAAACAATTAATCAAAAAGAAAACTATCCTTTCACTTTAATAAATTAGCAACCTCAAGTATGTGTACCTGCCAGTAAATATAAATGAACCAGGTTGTGTTTACTGTTAGCTATAGGACATGTTTCCCAGTCAAGTCTTTTCGGTGGTAAGAGTTACCACTTAGCAAGCACTCACTCTATCCAGAGCATTATATGTGCTCATTTAACCCTCACAAACTCTGAGTTAAGTATTGTTATCTCCATTTTACAGATGAGAAAACTGAGAGTTTACATGACATGGCAGAGCTGAAATTTGAACCTAAGTCCATATGACATCAAAGCTGAGACTTTATAGTTCTGATGTAACCAGTAGAACCATCTCAAACTCACTGAATTTTTTCCCAATTTTTTACTAGCTGATATATACACACATTCATGTCATATATTGACTCAGCAACCAGCAGACACACTTGCAAAAGGAGAAACACTGGAGGATATTGATTAAGTTGACTTTGATCAGGTAAGTTGATGCTAAATAAACTGAACTGTACTCAATACAGGATGTATTTGCTGAAAAGTAAACACTATTGTATGATTTCTTTAAGAGAAGTAATAAAATAGAAATGGGATAAAATTAAATATTGATGTGTAAAAATCAATGAAAATTAATTCAAACTCACTTATTTTTATCAAGTATTTTAGGAAAAAAGTTTAAGAGCTAGCACAGCTCTTTCACTGAGGTACTTTATATACCTTGGGAGGCATCTAGTCCAATTACTTCATTTTACAAATGAGGCAACTAAGGACAGGTTAAGTAGCTTGAGAATAAAGCAGAATATTAGTGGATCAAGATTGGAACCCAGCATTCATTTGATTTTTCAAGTGGATTCAACCCCTGTTTAACTTAGATTTGCCTGTGAGGTATTATTATAATATATTTTCTGGATAATTTTAGATGTTAGAGCACATTTAAGCAAAGAACAATGAACTAGGAAGATATTTCTGATACCTGTCATGGCTCCCAAACAGTAGCCCAATGCCAGAGCTCATTTACATAACAAATAGAAATATTTATTATAAATCTTTGCCAAAGAAATGACATTATCAAAATGGGCAATCTTTGTTTAGTCTTAAATCTCCGGGATGAATATCATTAAGCATTACTGCATTCATTAAAAAAATAAAACCAGAAAAGTGATAAAAATTTATCCACGTTAAACCAATGCTATAGTTACTCACATCGTGTATTGTTTCCTTCTAATTTATTAATTATTTCCATGTAGTTTTTAAATTGTTTTGAGTACTATATTAATACTTATGTATTTCTAGGAGAAGTTAAAGAAACCAAACTGTTGCCCACCTCATTTACG